GGTGTGATGCTTTGAGTGCTCTTGATATATTTTTGTGGATATTTGATTGTACACGTGTCCCCCGGTTGGTGCAACGGGGTCCTGCTGAAAGCAGCTAAAAAAATTGCATTTGCCAACCCTCCTGGCAGTCGTAGTAAATATCTTATACATCTATGATTCTCCCATGTTCGACAATAGACTTTTGATAGGCTGTAACGGTTACGGTCAAGACGTATTAATATCGTAAAAACACTTCTAAGGTTAGGTTAAACAACATCAGGAAATTAGTTGCAACTAGGTTTTTTGTACAAGCTAAAAATGGATTGCAGAAGCCCGTCTGGATACGCTGAATGTATGCGGAGCAATGAATGATAAGATGGACGAAGTATGCGATATGACGTATGATTAGAAGAATAGATGTTTTATGTGCAAATGAGACGAAACGGAAAGGGGAGGATGTCACTACACATGGCATGTATACCACGTACTGGTCCAAGTATAACAAGGAGTAGGTGTCATCCTTTCAGAAAGAATAGGCCAAGGTGTAATATAATATATATGTGTAAGCCTAAGTCTGCTGTGGATAAGAATGAAAATGGGCTTAAAGAAGTTGTTTGTGCAAACATTTCTAAGCCCAATCATATCCGAGAGCAGTGTCAGGAAATGATAAGGATGGTGTTAATGAAATGTAAGGGAAATGAAAATATTATTATGCTAGGAGATTTTAATGCAAGGGTTAGAGTGAAGAGGCTTGGTTATGAAAGGATATAGGAAACGTTTGGTGATGATGTTTTTTTTTTTTCGTTATTGGTTAAGTCAGAGTAATGGTTGTCATAAATTTTTTTTATGTATGTTAGCAGTACTTAAATCCCTGCTTACTGTTGATACATTCTTGTGTAGACTTGTCCTAAAGGATATCTCTAAGGTCTGAATGTATTTTCCTTTGGTGATAGCTCTAACAGTTTAAAGTCTGCAGTGATTTTTTCGAGTCATGTCCATTTGAACTTGAATTCCGAGCCTCCTCACTTTATGTACGGAAAATAATATTTTTGTGATGAACACTTTCTTTCGCCACAAGATAATTTACATGTATACTTGGGAAAGAGGTGATGATAGAAGCATGATAGATTTCATAATTGTGGAAGAAAGAATTTTTTTAAATTTATTTATATCATTGTAGTAAATACATGAGTTAAATGTAATTAACTTGCAAAAACCGTGAGGTTTGTCCGCAAGTTACAGTCTCACACAATTTAAGGTATAGTACAATCACATACATTATACAAATTATTAATACAATCATTTAATTGATAGCTGCTTATAAACAGTAATAATAATATTAAGTAAATACGTACATATTTTTAAGTGATAAATTTCAAATCACCGTAATTGCAAATCACCGGCGTTCTGGACGGGCCGTATTGACAGAAAAACCGGTTTCTGTGAGCCCTCGAGTGTGAGCGTGACAATTAGATCGTTCTTATCGGGCGCTCGGATTATCTAGTTGCAGAAGCAGTATACAGGTTGGTGCAAAAACTGTGAGTTGATCTTTTTTTATTATTATTTATAGTTTTTCATTTTTGATTTGTTTTTATTTTAGTTGCAAGTATACATATTTAATCTATAAATATAAGAGATATATGTACATATATTTATAAAAATTAGAACAATTAATTGATGATTTTATAAGTATATTATATAATTTTGTATTTAATATTTATTTACTCCCGTTGTAGCTGTTAATAGAAATATTTTTTGAATTTGTTTTTGTAGTTATCTTCATTGATGTCTGAGAGTATCGTGGGGGGTATTTGGTTCATTAAAGTAGGAATTAAATATCTATTTGTACGTTTACCATAGTAGTTATATATTTTAGGTGTTACGAGTTTATTTTGTATAACTTTTCTTTTTATGATTAATTTTAACTTGCACTTTTTTATTGTGAAATTGTTCTATTAGTATTAGCATCTGAAATTTCGTGTGTATAGGCAATACTTTGCAAAATTTAAATATTCCATTAATATTGTTTTCACTGTATATTTTTGTTTTTACTTTCTTAGGTATAATTATTTCCAATATTCTGATTTGTAGGTTATATATTTTATCCAAGTAAGTTTTAAATGTTTTTCCATAACTTGTAATGCCATAAGAAATAAGAGACTCAGCAAGAGCGTTATAGAGATTTATAAGGATGTGAAATGGCATTTTGTATTTTAGTATTGCAAACTTTGCTAGCCTAGCCCGTAGCTTATTACATACATGATCAACGTGTTTACCCCAATTGAATCTTTCATCCACTATCAGACCTAGGTATTTATAAGTGTTAACTTGTTCTAGAGGATTACAATTACAGTTAGTATTTAATTTAGACGAACTATGAAGGCAGTCGTGGCTGTGTGCTAGTATTTTTATTGGTCTTTCGTATTTGTTAGAGTGCATCGAGCGTACATGTATAATTTTAGTTTTACCAGAATTTAATACGAGTCCCGCGTCATGTGACCACATACAGAGGTTAGTAAAGTCATGTTGTAACATTTTTTCTGCTTTTTCTATGTCTTTATTGGCTATTACTAGGCAAGTATCGTCTGCATATTGATACACTGAACTATGTTTAATCACATTCCCCATGTCATCTACAAAGGCCTGATAGTGTAAAGGGCCAAGAACCGATCCACGAGCTGTTCCAGTAGTTACAGGTATTTCATCACTGTAATCATTTTCAATTCTCACCCGTTATTTTCTATCTTTGAGGTAATTTTCACACCACCTGAGTAAAGGCCCGCGTATGCCTGTATTTTCCAGTTTTTGTATTAATAAATCGTATTTCAGAGTATCAAATGCTTTGCTGTAGTCAATAAATAAAAGAATTATGTGTTGTTTGTTGTCTAAATAAGTATTAATTTAATCGGTAAATTTTGATAACAAAGAAGTAGTTGAATAATTTTTTTGAATGCCAAACTGAGTGCTGGATAGAACGTCATTCGATATATAATATTTATGTATCTGACTACATATATATTTTTCAACTATTTTATCTATTGCAGGAAGTATTGTAATCGGCCTATAATTGTCATAATCACAGTGCGACCCCTTTTTGTAGATGGGTCTCACTATTCCTACCTTTAATTCTGAGGGATAAATACCAGAATGAACACTAGTATTAATCAACTTTGCAATTGCTGTTGTGATTTTTTCACATAAGGATTTTATGTCTATACAGCGAATCTGGTCTGCTCCAGCGGATTTGTTTGTGTTCAATTTCTGGATTATTTTATTTATGCTCTTGCCATCTGCTGCTTTAAACCGCATTGAACTATTCTGAGGAAATATGTACTCTGCTTGATCTAAGAGGTTTTGTTTACAGTTAGATAGTATTTTTTCAACATTTTTAACAAAATCTTTACCAAAATTATTTGCCAATTGATTAGCTGTTAATTTGTTTTTTTGAAAAGCCTTTAATATCGCCGCATCTAATGATTTATTTACTCTGCCTGTGATGGAATTTAGAATATCCCATAGCTTCCTTGGGTTATTTTTGTTATTATTTATTTCGTGATAATAGTATGTTTCGAGACATTTCAATAAGTTTATGTGTTTTATTCCTAATTTTATTAAACTCTAGTCGTAATATTTTATCGGTTGTATCTTTTTTCCACTTGTTATACAGGTAGTCTCTTTTTGCGCAGTAAAATTTTCGTCATTTTCGTCTTTTTGTTCTTGTTTTTTTTCCTAACAAATTATTTTAATTTATTGTTGGTTTTTGTTAGTTCAAATAAAAGTCGAGGTTTGATCGCCAGCTAATGTTAACATAAAAAAAACATTTATGCAATTAGCCACGTTACAAATTATACTTTATTATTGCATTTACGTATATGTAATACTACCGCAATGGAAAACAAACATTTTGGTATTGCCTGCAAAGATTTGCCACCACCTCCTGGTGAAAGAGAAAAGTGTCTATGTATGCACTGTAGGCAAGAATACTATTTAAAATGTTTGAATATGGATAAGACTGCTTTCTTTAAATTAGACGGCCAAACAAAATCTAAATGGAAATGCCCAACTTGCTTTAATGTAACAAATCTACACAAGGGAGATATTTCGAATATACCAGTTAAAAAATCAGTGCCATTTAATGATTCAATAATGTTCTGCGACGACTCTCTTTCTGTTGAACACTCGGAAACTTCACTAGGTCCTCAGCCATCAACTTCTATGTGCCCTTCTCTAGGACAAGAAGTTATATTAGGGAGTATAGCCAGACTTCTAGATATGAAACTTGATGCTAAATTAGATGAAAAATTTGAATCACTCAAGAAATCATTCTATATTAATATTTATTTATTTATTTATTTATTTTCCACTATACAATTATCTTTACAGGTTTATCACCTAATGAGATAATGTAGACAACTATTTTACCAACTCCAACTACATAGTTACAAGCTAATAATTTTCGATTACAGACATGTACTTATTGCTATTTCAAACACGTATCTATATCACATAAGGACCATAACTAATTTCAAACAGAGCTCTTACTATGAACCCACCCAGAGTACAACAAAATATATCTATGTCTTCTGCTATACGGTTGAGGATACGGAGGGCGCGCGTAAAGGGGGCTTCAGTCACCAGCTTAGTGTGGCCGCGCGGCACAGCTATCAGCTGGGGCCGCCGCCGCCGCCACACGTATCTGTCCGGAACACATATGCGCACTTGTTGCAATACGTCTGGATTGTGAATCTTTCCCCTCATCACCTTAAAGATATATGAAACAAGCGCTAAATTCCTCCTAACCTTTAGCTCATTGTATCCTACCATACCTAAGGTGAATAAGGTAGGATACTTATTTGGGTAAAATGGGTATACTCCATACATTTTTTTGATATAAATATCTAATAAATATATTTTGCACTCTCTCCAACATGATACTATACTTAGTCTCATGTGGAGACCAGATGACCGCGTTGAATTCTAATTGGCTCCTCACTAAAGAATTATATAATGCAATAACTAATATGAAATCATTAATCAAAACGGAGATTGTTACAGCCATTGATCAAGTCAAAATTGAATTTACCGAGATTACAGACTTTCTACATCAAGGGCAAAAAGAACTCAAGTCAAATATTGAATCTGCTGAAATAAAAGTTCAGGCACTAGAAAAAATTAATGCCGATCTAACACACAAAATGAGTGTACTGCATCGTCGTTTGGAATCCATGGAAAAAATTTCCCGCAGTCACAACGTGGAGATTCAAGCAGACCCCGAAAAACGGAATGAGAATATTTTGACGCCTGTGAAAAATATTTACTCTAGAGTAAAACTACCAACGACAGACGCTGAAATTAGTATGTGTCGAACGGGTGCTAAATTGCCGACCACATCAGCTCAACGCCCGCGTAATATTTTGCTTTCGCTGCTTTCCATTCGGTATCGTGATAATCTTCTCTCAGCGGCCAAACGTTATAATAAGGCTAACCCTGGCAACACATTAAGCTCTGTACATTTAGGAATTCAAGGGGACAGATACCCAATTTACGTTTCCGAACATCTCTCTTCAGAAACCAAGGAGCTTTTTGCTTTGACACGGGCTAATGCTCGTGGAAAATATAAATACGTGTGGGTCAAATTCGGCAATCTATATCTGAGAAAAGATGATAATTCTTCAGCAGTACATATTAAAAACAAAGATTGCTTGGCTAAAATTAGTTAATTGATTTGTATTGTAGTAACTCACTTTTTGTTTTTGTTTATTTTGCGTTTAAGTTTTGTATTTTTTTTGTCTTGAATGTTAATTTACTATCAAAATGTTAATCGTATGCGTTCCAAAACACATCAGCTGTATACAAATATACTAAATAAAGAATATGATATTATTTGTTTAACCGAAACTAACTTAGATGAAGGTATTTTTAATGAAAAATTATTTGATGAGCGTTATAATGTATTCATACGGGTATCGTATAATGTTTCGTCAGGACAGAGGGGAATGCCCTTATGGCGGACGAAAATACGAGGGAGGAGGTGTGATCTTGGCCATAAAAAAATGTTTGCTGTTACTCGTAGGCAATTTTGGGACAGTAACTTTGAGGATATTTGGGTTTCACTTATTTCTACAAATTGCTTGTCATTAAATATCTGTGTTTGTATCTTCCATCTTATCTTCAGTCGGACGACATCAATAAACTTATGAAACACTATCAAAGTATCATACTTAGCAATGCCCATTCTGGACATTTCTTATTGGTAGGCGATTTTAACTTTCCTGACATAGACTGGGAGATCTCTAATTTAGAATTAAGTTTAATTCCAAGTGTTTCTGCTGGCACTAAGGGCCGTTTTCTTTTAGATTCTATGGCATTATGTGATATGAAACAATATAATAATTCTAAAAATCGGAATGATCGTCTACTTGATCTCGTATTATCAACTACGGACGAACTAAGAGTAAAAGAAGTAGAACCATTATTGAAACTGGATGGCCATCATCCCTCTATAGAAATTAATCTTAGTTATACAAATAATAAACAAAATTTTGTTATATTTAATCGTGAATTTTTGAAACCAAATTATCATAAATGTAATTTTGAAAAAATTAAACATCATTTAAGAAAAGTTAATTGGCATGAACTGTTAAATGACTTGGATCCTGATAGTGCTGTTGATGCTATGAATAAAGAACTTAATTCAGATATTTTGCTGTTTGCACCATTTAAAAAATGTAATCCTAACCAATACCCATACTGGTTTAACTTTCCTCTAATTCGTTGCCTTCGAGATAAGAAAAAGTATCATAAGCTGTATAAAAAATTTGGTAATCCGAGGGACTATGATACATACAATATGCTGAGAACTCGTAGTAAACACTTAATTGAAGCCTGCTACAAATCGATTCAAAATGAAGTTGAGGATAGTTTAGGTAAAAACGTTAAATATTTCTTTAAGTTCGTTAATAACAAAAAATCAAGTAAAGGTATCCCTGAATCTATGACTCATAATGCTAAAACTGCTACAGATCCCCAAGGAATCTGTGAGCATTTTTCAGCGTATTTTGTTTCTGTTTAAGAAAAACCTGACAACTGTGAACCCAAATTTAATATACCGAACAGGTCTAATCTTGCACTATCTAATATAGCTATTAGTAGATATGACATTACTAGAAAGATTAAAACACTAGAGGCTCATAAAGGTCCGGGTCCCAATGGAATTCCATCATTATTTGTTAAGGCGTGTTGTGAAGAACTTAGTTTGCCGTTATTTATAATTTTCAATAAGTCTATTAAGAGCGGCATATTCCCTTCTGTTTGGAAAAATGCCTATGTAATTCCAATTCATAAGCCTGCTGGTAAAACAAAATGTAAAAACTATAGGCCAATTAGTATCTTATCCGGTATGGCTAAAATTTTTGAATCGTTAGCTTATGACCATATTTACAACCACGTCAAACAAAGCATATCAAACTTACAACATGGTTTTGTTACTGGTAGATCAACCATTAGTAATTTACTTGTCTACAAAAATTACATCTGTCAAGCGTTTGCTACCCAACGCCAAGTAGACTCGATTTATACTGACTTTTCAAAGGCGTTCGACAAAGTCAACCATAGAATACTAGCGGCTAAATTAACAGCATACGGGATACATGGCAATTTGTTGCGTTGGATAATTTCATATCTTTCTAGACGTAGTCAGATCGTTGCAATAAAAGGTTTCCTCTCCAAACTAGTACATGTAACATCCGGGGTTCCTCAAGGGTCCCATCTTGGCCCTCTTTTGTTTATTATATTATTAATGACTTGGTAGACCATATAACAAGTGAATGTTTACTATATGCAGACGGTATGAAGGTTTTCCGTATAATCGATGATGTTAATGACTGCCTCTTGTTGCAACGGGACCTTAACAGTATTCATACCTGGTGTTCTCATAATAAAATGCATTTGAATGTAACTATATGTTTTTTATAACCTTCACAACTAAGGAAACTCGTCTAAAGTATACATACCATATTAATGATCAACCTTTGTCTGAAAGTAATGTTGCTAAAGATTTGGGCGTTATCTTTGACTCAAAACTAGATTTTAAGCAACATTTTAATCACTTAACTCAGTTAATTGGTTTTGTTACACTAGTTATGAAGTAATTCAAGAGACCCCTTAGTCTAATATATCTTTTTAACACTCTTGTGAGACCGATCCTTGAATACGCCTCTGTAGTCTGGTCACCCTATTACGAAGTACATATAGCTAATATTGAACGAGTCCAGAGATGTTTTCTCCGGAGCTTATGTCGTAAACATGGATTGATCCGCCAGTTGCCATCGTTACGAAATTAGATAAACGTAGACAATATTTTGAGCTTATTTACCTTCACTCCTCCATCGATTGCCCAGAATTGCTTAATTTAATTAATTTTAACAATCGATCCCGTCTGCGTAACCCGCGTATCTTTCGCCTTGATGTTTACAGAAACAACATGTCTTTCTTTAATCCGGTTATTCGAATGTGTCGAAATTCTGACGAGCTGAGACATCGTAACGCTGATCTGGACATTTTTAATTCAAATATTTCACAATTTAGAAGATCTGTAATTGCTACGTTAAATATGTAAAATCACGAATATCATAAAATAAGTTCTTTTTTTTTTAACTGTCACTAGTACTATGTATTATTAATTTATTTTTCGGTCATACTTGTCATATTTTGTTTTGCTGTGCACACTTTATTGGATTATAGACAAGTTATAATATTTTTATAAGTTGGAGAGGTCTCGTCTAATGAAGTCAATGCTCCATCTCCCTTGTGCTCTAATCCAGAATCCCGAAACCTTTCGACTTACGTAACCGCTTTCAGTGCCTAGAAGATTGTAATGCAGTGGACGGTATGAATGACAAGCACGTGGAAACTGTCCATGCGGTCGGAGCTAAGTTCTGCAAGACCCGCCGCAGAAGAACACAAAAACTCTCCAATCACACTCTTAATCTCATGGCTGTTAGACGGGAGATGAGGCTGCAATCGTCAACAGATTTGACAGCATAGAGCCAACTGCACAGACAGATTTCAAAATGCATGCGGCGAAACTTACCCAACTTTAATACTGCTCGTATTGAAGAAGCGATCGAGCGGAACCAGGGTTCCAAAGTCTTTGCCAGAGATCTGTCTGCCAGTAAGAGCCAACTGTCAAAGCTGAACACTGAGTGTGGCAGCATCTTTTCCGGGACACCTGAGATTCTGAATGAGATTGAGAGGTTCTATGGGAAGCTGTACATATCATCGTTGGAGCCACACGCAAGTGTGAGTAACGATCCAAGAGCAAGTCCTATCCGACACTATTCCGATGATACCCCGGAGGTCAGTCTAAGCGAGATTAGAATGCTCTCCAGCACCTTAAAAACGGCAAGTCCCCGGGCGGGGATGGAATTACAGCGGAGCTTCTGAAAGTGGGTGGAAAACCGGTACTTGAAGTCCTTCAGAGGCTCTATAATTTCGTCCTCCATGGTGGCACTACTCCGGAGGTGTGGAGCAGAATTGCGGTGGTCTTGTTCTTCAAGAAAGGTGACAACGCCTTCTTGAAGAACTACATACCGATATCCCTTCTGAGCCTCGTCCACGTGCTTTTCGAGAGTCATTACGAATGGTCTCGCACGCAGACTCGACGACTTCCAGCCTCCCGAAGAAGCCGGTTTCTGAAAAGGCTTTAGTACCACAGAGCACATACATACTCTTCGGCAAATTTTACAGATGTCCAAAGAGTACAATCTGCCACTTTGCCCGGCGTATGTGGACTATGAGAAAGTCTTTGATTCCGTCGAAATTTGGGCAGTGCTACAGTCTCTTCAGCGGTGCCAAGTTGACTGTCGGTATATCGAAGTGCTGAAGTGCTTGTACAGTAGGGCTGCGATGGCTATCCGAGTACAGAACCAGAGTACGAAACCTATCCAACTGCAGAGAGGTGAAACACAGGGTGACGTTATATCCCCGAAACTCTTCACCGCCGCGTTGGAAGACGTTTTAAAGCTATTGGACTGGAAAGGTTACGGTATTAACATCAATGGCGAGTACTATAACTCACCTTCGATTTGCCGACGATGTAGTCCTTATGGCAGAATCGCTGGAGGACCTAAGCACTATCCTCAATGACCTCAACAGTGCCTCCCAACGGATAGGTCTTTAGATGAACACGGACAAAACAAAGATCATGTTTAATGTTCATGTCACACCTATGCCGGTAGTTGTTGGGAGCACTGAGCTCGAAGTTGTTGACGAGTGTATGGACTACGACTAGGTAAGTCCAACTTCGACCGAGAGGTCGAAGTGAAGTGGCAATAGGCCGGCCATATAGCTCGAAGAACCGACAACCGTTGGGGAAAAAAATTTCTCGAGTGGCAGCCTCGTACAGGTAGGCGAACTGTAGGGCGACCCCCACTAGACGGATTGACGACCTGGTAAGACATGCAGGAAGTCGATGGATGCAGGTGGCTCAGGACCGTGCTTTTTGGCATACCTAGGTGTAGGCCTATGTTCAGCAGTGGACTTGTGAAGGGCTGTAATGATGATAATGATGATGATGGCTTTGAGGTCGAACATTGGTCCTCATATTGATGAAGAAGCCAACATTCGTTTATCATCGTGTTTATTTTTCAGCGATTCGAAAATTATTAAATTGTTATCTACGGTCGATGTGAGACTGGCACAGGAATATGAATTATGAATG